TTAATGCATCAAACTGCAAAGTCATTTGAATTGCAAGGTCAGTGGCTCAAGCTCACCAGCTGCTCCTTGGAAACCATATACAGGGTTGCTATGGATCAGAATCAACTCGATGGCACTTAACAACAACAAAGGAGAATAATAAGAATGAAAAAAATCAGAAGAAAACCCAAGTTATGTGGGACCCCATGAAGAAGAACAACTTACAGGTGATTGGAATTCCAGCACAGAGAAAACTGTCAAAGAGTTGTTGGAAGAAAACTTCCCTAATGTCCTGAAAGATGAGAAAATAAGCAGACAAGAAGCTGAACGAAATCCAAACAGGATAGTTCCCAAAAGAAAATCACCAAGACATAGCATAATTGAACTTTCCAAAATCAAAGACAAGGAAAGAATCCTGGGGAAAACAGATAATTACCTACAAAGGAGAACCAATAAGACTAAGCTCTGATTTCTCAGCAGAAACCATGCAGACAAGAAGGCAATGGGATGACATATAAAAGGTACTGATGCTCAGATTTCATTCCAGACCAAAGCCAAATTTTTAGGTATAGGACCCAGGCAGAAGGACTTTTAAAATCTCTCCATTAGAATAGTTAACGTTATTAATCCATGACAAGTACCAAACACTGGCAAGGATGCAGAGAAAATGGTTCTCTCATACATTACTAGAGGGAATATAGAATCATAAGCTGCTCTAGAAAATAGTTTTGCAGTTTCTTTTTAAAAAAAAAATAATCATTTATTTATCATACAATGAAGCATTCACACTCCTGGGCATTTATTGCAGAAAAATGAAAATGTATGTTCATACAAATATCTGAATGTGATTGTTATAGCAGCTTTATTTGTAGTATCAAAATCTAGAAATAACAAATAGCCCTCAACAGGTGAATGATTGAACAAACTATGGTACATTTATACCATGGAATTCTTATTGTTAATTGTTGTCGAGTTAGTTCCAACACATGGTGACCCTGTGTAGGGTTTCTGAGGAGCAGCTGGTGGGTTTGAACCGCCGACCTTGAGGTTAAGAGTCAAGTGCTTATCCTACAGCGCCACACCTACTCAACAAAAAAAGGCAGTGAACTATAGACACAGCAACAACCTGGATGAATCTCAAGGGTGTTATGCTGAGAGGGGAAAGGCCACTCTCGAGAGGTCACATAAATGTATTTCTGTAGCATTCTCGAAATGACAGACTTAGAGAGCTGGAGAACAGACTAGGACTTGCCCGAGTTAAGGGATGGAGAGAGGATGTGCACCAGGGAGATCTGTGTGGTGATGGGAGAGTTCTGTATTTGAATTGCAGAGATGGTTACACAAATCTACCTGTGATCAAATACCATAGACTTGCACACACACACACAATGTACCAATGCCAGTTTGCAGGTTCTGATATTGTTCTATAACGATCTAAGATGTACCCATTAGGGAAAACTTGGTGATAGATACAGGGGACCACTCTATACTAACTGTGCAACTTCCCGTGGATCTGTAGTTATTTCAGAATAAAATGTTAAAAATACAAACAAACAAAAAAGTACTCCAGGTGATTCTAAAAAGCAGTCAGGTTGAGAACCGGTGTGGTAAAGCTTAAAGCTGAAAAAAAAAAAAAAGCTAGTCTGGAAGACATGGTCCAGGGTAAGCAGCAAATCTCCCTCATGTCACCCTAGCTCCTGGAGGTGGGAGCCTGGCTGGAGGAGCAGGCCTGTGTCCTGGACAGCAAGGACATGGGCCAGAGTGCTGAGGCCACACAGGCCCTCCGACGACGTCTGGAGGTCACCAGGAGGAACCTGGAGGGTTTCCACACACGCATGGAAAGGCTGCAGGAGACAGCTGTGCTCCTAGAGAGCACGCAGAACCCAGACAGGTACAGGGAGTGAGGAGAGGGTGCTCCCAGCTGAGACAGCCAGAGAGGAAAGAGTTACAGTCTGTTTGTTTTCCCTGCTGCAGCCCCAAGGTACTGTCCCAGCTGCAGGCTGTGAGGGAGGCCCACACACAGCTACTGAGGGGAGTGGAGGCACGGGGGCAAGGGCTGCAGGAGCAACTGCAGCTGCACCAGCTGGAGCTAGAGGCTCGGCTCCTCAACTCCTGGCTGGCCAGCAAGGTGGCCACCGCTGAGTCCCAGGACTTCGGGCAGGACCTGGAGGGCGTCGAGGTGGGTCATTCCCAAGCAATCCTGGGGGAAAGAGGATTCAGGCTGGTGAGCAGGGACAAAGAAGATCTGCATTTTGGCATGGAACGGAGGCTGGGGAGTAGGCAGTTCTAGAACCAGGGCTGAGGACCATGAGAACTGTCAGGTCCTGCCAAACTCTTCACGAGTTTCTAGAAAGGCCTGGAACGACTCCAGAGTGACCCTCTGTGACCCCACATCCTTGCAGGTGCTGGAAGAGAAATTTAATACTTTCCAAAAGGAAGTCCAGAGTCTGGAGCAGGCCAAGGTGCAGGCCCTGAGGGAGCTGGCGGGCTCCCTGAAACAGAACATACCCAGGTGCTCTTCCCAGATTGAAGCCCACCAGAGCAGCATCGAGGCCACCTGGGAGAGGCTGGAGCTGGCAATAAAAGCCCGCACAGAGGTGGGCTGAGGGTCATGCAGTCCCGCCACAGATGTGAGTGTGTCCCTTTGCTGTCAATGACAGCAAGTTGTTCCTGTAAGTATGGCTCAGTCCACTGAGCTCCTGATGGGCCTACAGCCCAGAGGACACTGTCTCCTTAGGTCCCAGGCCAACCCTGTCCTCACCCTGGCCTTGTTGGAAGTGCAGCCAGCTCCTCTGGGAAAGCAACCCACTCACTCCAGTAAGCCCGTCTTCCCGTGGTCCCTGCCTCTTGACTTTCTTCATGAGATGTGCATGGAGTTCCCCATGGCCCCACCACTTCATCAGTAACAGCACAATAATTAGGGGATCACACAGGAATCACCAAGCCCACAATCGACTTTGCTCAAAAGGAGGTGGCCCGGAGGCCGTGTCCTAGAGAGCAGAGCCCAGCCTAAAGCAGGTCCACTCTTCCCCCAGAAGCTGGCTGCAGCCCGAGAGCTCCACAGCTTCCACAAGGTAGCAAGTGCGCTCTGGGGCTGGATGCAGGAGAAGGCGGCCGAGATGGAGGGAGCCAGCTGTGGTCATGACCTGGCATCTGTGCAGGCCCTAAAGCAGCAGCACAGCTGCCTGGAGGTGAGGGTCCCAGAGGCAGCCTGTGTGAGCCCCTCCCTGTACACAGGCTAAGGGTAAGGGGGGGGCCTGTCCAAGCCTCTTCACACCCTGCCTGGGCCTCCTCCCGTGAAACCCACATCCCTCCCCTCCCCTGGCCCTGACTTAGCCCAGGTGGTCTGAAGGATCTGTGAGGCAGAGCAGGGCCCACGCTCTTCGAGTGGGGAGAACAAGGCTTGATTGCATGTTCTGTCTGCAGAGAGAGCTGGCAGCTGTGGAGAAGGAGGTGGCTAGGATGGGGATGGCGGCTGGCCAACTAAGCCACACTGCAGCCCAGGAGGGCCTGGGCAAGCGGCTGGCTGAAGTGCAGGAAGCCTGGGCCACTCTGGACATGAAGGCCCAAGATCGGGGTCAGCTGCTGCAGTGGGCTGCCCTGGGCCACACCTTCCTCGGGCGCTGCCGGGAATTGCTGTAAGTGCCTTGGCTTGTAGGATGGGGACACCCTGGCTGGTCAGAACTAGACTGTCCCTCCCCCTGTTCAACTTGTGCCCAGTTCTGCTTCCCTGTTCTGTCCTCCTGACATGGCGCACTACTCCTGTCCCATAGCTCATGGGCTCAAGAGAGGAAGGCACTGGTGTCCTCGGAAGGGCTGGCGGGGACAGAGCCATTGGAGCAGGAAATCACTGAGCTCTGTCTTCGAGCCCAGGACGTGCAGCAGGAAGGGCAGCAGCTGCTGGAGAGCAGCCACTTCATGTCCACAGAGGTGTGAGCAAAGGGTGGAACTGGGGTTGAGCTACAACAGAGCCCTTAGTAGGAGGGGAAGGCCTGGACCAGCGGATCAAGGTCTGGCCTCGATGCCTCTGCTTCCCACTTGTCTGCCAGCTCTGCCCTGCCCAGGCCACTCTACCTGAGCACTCATCTGCAGGTGCCTTCCCCCCAGGTCACAGAGTGTATGCAGGAGCTGGACAGGCAGCTCCAGGGGCTCCGGGAGGCCTGGGCCCTGCATCAAGAGCGCTGCCAGGAGAGCCAGGGCCTGCACGAGCTGCGGCAGACACTGGACCAGGCCGAGGCCTGGCTAGCCTTCCGGGAGGGTCTCCTGCTGGACCCCAACTGTGGGGTGAGTGGCAGCTCTGCCCCTTAGCCGACCACACCATGTGGAGGCTAGCGCAGTGGGCAGATCCTGTGGCTCCTCTGGCTCCCTGGCCACTCAGGCTCTTGACATCCCCAGGAGCAGGACCTCACCCTGACTTGCTTCTTCCTAGCACTCGGTATCAGATGTGGAATGGCTACTCCAAAGGCATCAGGAGTTAGAAAAGCAGCTGACGGCCCAGGAGGAGAAGTTTGCTCAACTCCAGAGGCCAGAGGCAAAGGTGCGGAGAGAAAGGAGTGAGGGCTGAGGAAATGGGAGCATCCTCTGGTCTCAGCCTGCAGTGGGGTCTCCCAGAGTACAGGACCCACAACTGAGCCTCCCTCGGGTCTTCCCTTCCCACTGCAGTGACCTGTCAGGCAGTATTGAGTACAACAGGGCACCACTGTGGGCTCAGATAAGGGCAAGTCTTCGAAGCAGAGCAGGAAGAGGTTAAGAGCACTAAGCAGACAGGAGCTCTCCTGGCATCTGGATACAGGATGAGGCAGTTTTTTAACCTTCTTTTTGATGGGGAGCTGGAGCAGATAAAATTAATATGACATAAAATTCACCATTTTTATTTAAAGTCAACCTATGTGGCTTTTAGTATATTCAGTGTTGTGCAACTATATTCAAATTCCGGAACCCACCCCCACTAAGCAGTCACTAGGGTGGCAGAGATTTGGAGAAAGAGGCTGAGCATGGATCACCTCTCTTCAAGATGGGGCAGGGTTGCTGCAACAGGCAAATGCCAAGGGCCTCCCAGGGGCAGCCCATTGGCCTTCCTCAAGTGGAGGCTAAGATGAGGGGTCTGCAGCCACATGTCCACAGCAGGCTGCACACCCATTGCCACCACCTTCACCACTGCAGGCGGCAGGAGCCCAGAAGGGAAGGGACTGTGAGGGTGAGGGCTCCCACTCTTCAGCCAGCACCTGAGCTGGGGGAGGGGGGAGGGCATCAGAATTATGGATGGGGAGACCTGGTCAGTCTCCCAGAGTGGACCTGTTCTCTGTGTGGGTCCAGACATCTCTTTGGCCCCCATCTTGCATTTTCAGGATTCAAAGCGTGCCCCCACCATGGAGGGGGTTTGGGAGCAGCCCCTGCCTGGAGGAAGGCAGGTAAGTACTGGAATATTCCTTCCCCTCTGGATTTGCCAAGAGGCTCAGGTGGATGATCTGGGCCTGGCTCCCATGACGCATGAACTCTTTGGGCGCTATAACCACCACTCATGGGCAGTTTGGCTCCTTGAGACCTCATCACAGTTTCTTTCCCCACTTCCGTCTCCTCGTCTTGGTTTCCCTGTAAGAGCTGTTCCCTGATGAATGAAAGAAGCTTGGTGGTAAAGTCCTACTCTTGTGACATTGGGTTGTACTGGGTCGTTATGAGTGGGAATCAATCAACAGCTGGACAGGATGCAAGGAAAAGTGCCAACAGCTACAGAAGACTCCAGGGTAGAAGGAGGGCTCATAGTCCTTGGGTAGGCTGAGGAAAGGAACTGGTGGAGAGGGAGCATGGTGACCTAGGAAGAGGTGGGGAATGAAGGAGTAGGGTTCCTGTGGACCCAAGAGTTGAGGCCAGGGTTGAACTGTGAGGGGACACTTCATCCTCTGAGGCAGGAGGAAGAGAGGAAAGGCCAGATATGGTGGGTATAGATTTGTTTGAACAGGAGCTGCTTTCCAAGTCATACATCTGTCATTATTTTGGGGAGCGCGTGGCTCCATATGATAAGCACTGGACTGCAAACCACAAGGTCCACAGTTCAAGCCTGCCAGCCTCAAAGTCAGTGGTTCAAACCCACCTCAGAAACACCATACAGGGTCACTATGAGTCAAAACCGACTCAAAGGTACTTAACAATAAATCATTACTTCATTAAAAACATTTGCTTCTATCTCTTTCAATTGGTCTTTCTTCATCTAGAACAAAGAAGTCTGAAGAAAATCAGGTGAGTCTACAGGACACTTCACTACCCTGAGACTAGATCTATATGGTGGCCAGCTGTCACTACCGACTGCTCTGATTGTAATGACAACACAAAGTACCTGAGACCATGGCCCTTGGACACCTTTCGAACCTGGAACTGAACCTATTTCCAGAGATCACCTTCCAGTCAAACCATAAACAAGTCTATAAAGTGAACAAGCAACACCTGTGAGGAACATGCTTCTGAAAACCACCCACTATATGAGACCAAAGGGCAGTATTTGCCCAAAAACAAAGTTCCGAAGGCAAGAAGGATGAATGGAAGCAGAGAACCAGGGAGGAAGCGGGAAGATTGTTACACTGAAAGGATTACTGTCAGGAAACAAAGTGTATACAAATTGTTGAATAGGAAAGGAGCTTGCTTTGTAAACTTTCAACCATACCATAATGTTAAAACAAAGTCATCTCTACATTAAATGTTTTCTGTGTTAGTACAGCCTAGATCAGAGACATTGTGTGAGGCATAGATCTAAATGTACTAATCTATAAAGTTTCTCTTAACAGAACTAAAGGAATGAATTTGTGCCTGAAAAAAATTAACCAATCTGGTCTCTGATTTTCTTCTCTGCTGGGATACTAGTTTGGTCCAGTCATTTTCCTGGGAACCTCACCCAACCAGACCAGGATTGACTCTTCACAGCCCAGCTCATGTTCCTGGGAGGCCTTGTTGGGGGAGCAGTGGAGGCAATGTGGGCAGGGCTGGAGGAGCCCAGAAGGAAGAGAGTGAGGGGGTCACGGTGCCCCTGCCTTTCTGAGGAGACTCAGAAAGTAGCTTCTGTAACCACCCTTGACCTCAAGGAAGCACAGTATGGGAGGCCAAGGGATCGCCGTGGCAGGAAGCACATTTTCTCTTTAAGGAGAAGATCACATGGGATCAAGAGAGACTGACTCTGGGGACACATGACTCAGGTTCATCTCCTGTGGCCAAGGGGGCTGGAGGCAGAGGTCCTCAGGGAAGGCAGTGTTGACCCCTTGCTGTCTAGTACCAAGTTGAGCAGCAGGGTAGAGCACCTCCTTTCAACACCATCAGAAGGGCAGGCTGACATCTCGCTATGAGACCTCATCAGCACCAAAGGTGGGTTCTAAGGGCAGACTGAAACCGAGCTCTAAGTGCCACTGGCTTTCTATTATCTCTAGCCTGAGAGGTAGGTGAGTATACTGTCTTTTCAGTCAAGGAATTGAAGGCCCGGAGAGGTGATGCTACTTGCCCATATGGTTATGGCTAGGTGGTGTTGGGCAAGGAATATAGAGTCAGGGGGTGGTTCCACATAGAGGTTGAGGGCCATCACTATAGGAGTCTGCTCTTCTGAGACTGGCCTGAACCAGCCCCTGACTCTATACTCTCCGCATTGTTCCTCCTGTTGGGTCCTGGGGGACTCCTCTAAGCTTTTTGTCCCCACGGGGCTCTGACCACCACCACAGTGGTCCAGCCTGGCTCTACATCAGGAACAAGACACCTTGTTGACCACTTCCTCTCATGATGACCATAGCTGGGCAGGTTTCCAGATGGAGGGTGTGTGTTCAGAGAATGCTGAGTTAGTGGGGGCTCCATCCCTGATCCTCTTTCCACCTTTCTTCTCCCTGGATTCTTCAATGTCTCTGTCCCCTTGGTCCCTCCAGTACAGTGTCTCAGCATTCCAGATTGTTTCCTCCAGACTGACTCTTTCTAAGCTCATGAGTCTGTTTTGTAAGAGGGAGGATGCACTAGGGAAACCTCCCTGGACGCCCAGCCTAGGATGTTCTGCTGCATGGAAGTCTTGACACACAGGTATGCCCAAAGCTGTGCCAAGCCTTCAGAAGGTACATGTGCCAAGTTAGACTGCTAGGGCTGTGCCAGAGCTAATGGTTGTTCTTGCCCTGCCCTGCAGGCCAGAACTCACAGCCAGACCTCTCAGCGGGCCAGCCCAGTGAGAGTGTTGCTCAGTTCAGGCAAGGCACCTGGCAAGGAGAGTGGGGGCCCAAGCTCCAGAATGGCAGAAGCACTGCCCACCTCAGCACATGGCCCTAGGACTCAGGCCTACTCCGCTGGAGTAGGTAACCATTGATTTGACCCTCTCCATACTGCTGGGTTAGAGAGCCCTAACATTCAGGTGCCAACCCCTGGTCATTCTGAAGTGGGAGAGCAGGTTCCCTTTCACCAGATTCAACTCAGGGGTCACTCCACTGGGGTCCTGCCAGCACCCTTCCCTAACTCACTAAGTGTTTGTATGTGTACAACCATCCAGAGACCCATGCAGCCCTTCAAGTTCCTGCAGACTGCTCCTGCCAAGAAAGCCACACTCGGCTCTGAATGTCTTTCCCACTCAGGCCAAACCCATAATAAAGGCAGCCTGGGTTTCCCTTTGCATATTACTAGAAACTTGCTCAGATAGGACCCCTGCATTCTGCATCCTTTGGTCTGCCTTCTCTTCTTCCCTCCAAGACGGAGCATTTGTTTGTGTGGCAGCCAGTTGCCACCGCAGCCCCAGCTGGTCCCCCTGCTGACTGCCACAGTCCCTTCCTGCTTTCCCTTTCCAAAGACCCAGTCCCCCTCCGAGGGAAAAAGGGAGCCTCCAGGTGGTAGGGAAGAGCCAGGATCAAAGTCCACTGATGGCAGAGGTAACGTGGGGACCAACTGGAGACAGATGTGTGTGAAAGCATGGGAACAAACGGCTCTCACTTGGGTTCCTGTCTCTTCTTACAGACCCAGGCATTTGGATGCTCAACCACTTCACTGCAGCTCTTTCCCACCAGTGGACAAGGGGACACTTAGGACTGGAGACAGGAAAATGTAAGTGAAGATTTCACAGGGTCCCCAGGCCATGAGCTGAGATCATGTTCTCTCTCACACACACACACAGGAGGCAGCCAGGGTCATGCTCTCTGAGGTAATTATCCACATCCACGCCCACACCCACAGGGACCACAGGTTCCATTTTATGAATCAGGTGATGTGTTGAATTCAGCCTTGTGATGGACACAGTGGCTATTGGGAAGCCATTTCTTCTCTTCTATGCCTTTCGCCCTGTGCTCAGTGTAATGTCTGAGTCTCTCGGCCAGGGCAGACACATGAAGCAGACTGGGTCATGAGAATCAAGGCGGTTATCTCCCACCCACCCCACACAATCGTGTGCTCTTAGTAAGGATGCCACACATAATGCTGGAAGAAAGTGGGATGCAACCAAGGGGCCAGAGGGTGGGGCACATGTGTCTAGAGAAGATTCTGGGATGGCTGAGCCCTAAATTCACTGTTTCCCTGTTCTTCCGACAGATATGGGCGCAGAAATGATGCCATAATGCTGGCCCCTTTCTCTAGCTCATCTAGCACCAGGTGTGGTCCCCACAACTGCAAGGCAGAAAGCAGCCCTGAGTCCATGGCCTTACCCCTGGCAGAGGACAGGCATATTGGCCGTCATTGCCTGAGTCTGCCCCACAGGTCAGGGGGCACCTCCAGGCCAGCTGGCCCCTCTAATGGTCACTTCCTGCTTGTAAATGGTGGCACTGGGCACAGAGACCGGGGTGTGAGCCAGATGCCCACCTCTTCAAGGGAAGCCTACGTAGACTGGTTAGCACTTCACAGTACCTGGGGAGACACTTTGTTGGCTTGTTTTTAAAGCAGTCTTTGCAATGTACAACCAAGCGCCTATAATGGCATGCCCTGTTAGCAGCAAGGACAGACACCCTTAGACACCGCTGCACCTGGGTATGAACCTCTGTGATGTACAGAGCACACTGCTGCACTTATACAAGTACTCCAAGCTCTGAGGAGGGAGGAAGGGAGAAGAAACATGAGCATCTCCATCCCTGGGGGGCCCAGAACCACTGCACCCACCTCTCACCCTTGCTTGAAGAAGAGACCCACTTTGGCCCACTCTTTGGGGACCGTGGCCTCCTGACAGAGAGGGGCCCAGTCCTTGTGTCCACAGCCCTCACTCTGCCAGGGGCCTGATGCTCAAGACTGGACTCTTGACAAGGTTGCTGGCAGATTCAGTCCCACGTCACACCTGCGGTATCCTGGGCATACGGCTTCATTGAGCCCCAGTGGGAATGGAGACATGAAGGAGCCATACAAAGTCTGAGAGGCCCCAACTCCACCTGAGCACCAGGCAGACAGAGGCAGGACAAGGGCCTCTGTGGGCCGTCACTCGGGCTTGCGCTGCCTGCGTTGTCGTCTCCGCAGCACAGCCTCACGCAGGGCAGCCAGCAGTGACTCCCGGTTGTTACAAATATTGTAGTGCGTCAGGCCCAGCAGTTTGTCCACGTTCTCTTGGCTGTAGGTCACCTTCGAATAGTGGTAGGGGGAGTCGGATGGAGACAGGTTGACCTGCCCCGCTTCCTGTTCCTCAGGCGTCCTCAGGACCCCTGTGTAGAGAGAGTGCAGCCTGGGTATGGGGTGGAGGACCGGGCTGGACTCATCAGTGGAGAGGCGGGGGTGGGGACTCACCAGGGGCAGAGTGCTCCTGGTAGGAGTTGTTGGTCAGCGGGAAGTGCAGAATGATGGGGGCCTCAGGGCAGGTGGGGTCCGAGAACTTGTGGCACTCCTGAGGCTGGTGCTCCTCCTCAGGGCTCGGCGAGATGGGTGGGAATGGGATGCCCTGCTCCTGGCAAAAGTGGCCCACCAGCTGCAGCTGCTGCAGGAGGCACACAAGGGGCATCAGAGGAATGGGACTAGACTCCCTATGTCTTCCGTGCTGGGGTGTGTGAACATGGAGAGTCATTAAAGGCACATGGACTTAGTGCCTGGTGCCAAGTCAAAGACAGTGGACCCAACAGTTAGGCCTGACCTGGACACCTGTGGCTGCAGCTCCTCAGGAGCCACGGAACTGGGCTGGGCTCTGAAACTGGGAGGTGGAGCCTTCACCCCAGATCAACAGAGAAACTAAAAGCAAGGGGTCCCAGAGGTGCAGCAGATAAGTCACCAGCTTCTCCAGCTTCTTGGACCAGAAAAGGTTCCCGTGGTGATGATGAAGAAAACCCACTGTTCTAGTCACGTGGGTTGTTGCTGCCACTGCTAAGGGAAGCTTCAGGGTGGGCCTCTCCAGGGCCCGGGCCCACCCATCACCTCCCAGCCTGTCCCAGGCTCCCAAGTGCCACTTGTCAGGCCCGACCTGAAAGGCTCCTTGGAGGTTGTAGTCAAGGGACAGGATGAGGTCCACTTCCCGTGTGGGCTGTAGGAGGGGCGGGAGGCTGGTGTTGACAAAGTAGCCCACATCCAGCAGACAAAGGTAGAGCTCCGCAGGCGTCAGCTGGTTAGGGAGCCCATCCAGTTTGGTGGCTGGGAAAGTTTAGGGGGAGGGAGAGAATAGGCAGCCGTAAATGATGCTGAGGTACCAGGCTCCTCCAGTCAATGGCAACCTGTGCCCTCTGGCCCCAGCCTCAGCTAAAGCAGCCCCTGCACTGAGGCAGCCCACATCCCCAGCACATGGAGAAGGAAGAGACCAGGGATCGAATTCTGCCAAGCACCCCATGGAAACAAACTCAGGTGTCAGGGAGGATGGGGAGTTCGAGAGTACCTAACCCCAAGACCTAAAGCTTTGGGAAGACTTGGAGAGCTAGCATGGGGCAGAAAAGCACATACATTTCCAGGTGGAGAAGTGGGGATGCTGGAAATAGTCTTTGTGGAAATGGAGGCCCCGCAAGAAATTGTGGGTGGTCTGGGCAAGTGGGCGCCGAGTCAGGAGGTCAGTGAAAAACTCTGCTATCCTTCCAGTCATGCTGGGCGGCTCTTGTATCTTCACAATAGGAACTTGCTCCTTGTCTGCAGTCAGAGGGTGGTGGGAGGGGAGAATGGGCTCCTTCGGCAAATGGGGACCCCTGGGTGTTTATCCCAATCTCTAAGGCTAGTGATGCTAAAGGGAGAGCAGCAGAGCCCCCTCAAGGGCCTGGGGGCCACCCCCACCCCCAACAGAGTCCCAACTGGCTGCACCTTTGCATCTTGACAAGGAGCCCAAGCACCTACCCAAGGTGGCCTGATTCTGAGTCCAGCGGTCCCAGAACTGGCGGGGATCTGAGGACCAGTATAAGCTGTCCTGGAGACTGGCTGCGTATAGGTTGGTCCAGATACCTGGGAGAGCAGACATGAGGGGAAGAGAGTTCCCTATCACAACCTGACCCTGCCCCACTGCCTATTCTAGACCAAGGAAACATCTCAATGATGGATGTGGGGTGTTGAGGGCCCATCAACTCCCCCACACCCACCCTTCCCTCACATCCTGGTTTCTCCAGCCTTCCACAACCCCTCACCTTCCAGGAAGCAGATGCGGGACTCAGGGAGCCGCTTCATCAGTCGCCCCATGAAGAACTCGGAGTTGAAGAGCTCAGAGGGGATGAAGGCCCCATACTTGGGGAAGCCCACCTCATAAGGTGAGAACTCGCACCACTCTGGGAGGAGGCCACATACTCTCAGCCATGGGGTCCGAACCTAAGGGCCCTCCACCAACCACCGCAGGGATTCTACACCTGGTGAAAAGGAGGCTCAGGCCTAACTTGCTAGGATTTTGGGCATGAGGCCTGAGGCCCTTGACCCCTCTGAAACCCAAATGACTCTGGGTTAGGGTTAGGACTGACAGATTCATGGGACCTGGGCAAGAGAGAAGGTGGGTGTAAAATGTGGCGCTGTGCATTTATGTGCCAGACTGCAAAGTCGTTTGAACTGCAAGGTCGGCAGTTTAAGCTCACCAGCTGCTCCTTGGAAACCCTATACAGAGTCACTATGGGTCGGAACTGACTCGACGGCACTTAACAACAACAACATGCAGGACCAGTTACCTCCTTCTCTGCTCCCAGACCACTCACCTCCAAATTCAAAGGTGGACAGGTTCTGCTCCTTGGTGTTGAGGGCACAGTAGATAGGAAGAGGGTTCTGGCCGTGACTCAGGGCCTCCCGCTGCTCTGAGAGTTTGTGGTCATGGGGCTGGGGGGGAAGATGACTTGAACTTAAACCCAGTGTGTCTCAGTGCTACTGCCCATCTCCAGGCCAGGCCCTGGCTTTGCCCCTCCCACAGGCAGCCCCTTCCTGTACCCCATCGTGCAGCATGGCCTCACTAATGAGGGCCCACAGGTTGGTGAAGCAGGCTGGGTAACCTAGGCGGGCTCGCTCAGCCAATTCCTGCCGGTATCGCTGCAGATGGCTGGGAGCCAGCACACCCAGCTTGCTCTTGGTCACCTGGGTCTTCAGCAATTCAATGGGTCCAGCCAGGTCCTTCTGAGACCACTCTGGGTCCTTGTAGAGGTTAGCTAAGGTCCTAAGCAAAGCAGGGAACAGGGAAGGGGCCTGTTACTCAAGGATTCCATCTAGACTTCACAATCCTTGGGCTTTGTATTTCAGGACAACAGCCTAGCAGGCACCTTCCAAGAAATTCAGGGCCAGAGCTGAAGCCAACTCAACAAAACAGCAAGTCCCCAAGGGGCCCTTGAGCACACTTCTCCCTGGACACACACATCTTCCCAGCCCTTCCAATCTGGTCTGACTCATTCCCCCCTGCAGGTCCCTGCACTCAACCTGCTCACCAGGTGGAGCCTGAAGTCCCCGTGATGTAAGAGATGCAATCCAAGAGGCCCAAGTCCCTTAGGCCGGCCAGCTGCCCATATAGGGAGGTCATTGCCCGGATCCCTCCACCAGTAGCCATGACAGCTACCACTGGGACCTGGAAGAGAATATGCAGCCAGGCTCAGAGAGGCGAAAGCAGCAAGGTACTCAGCTCTCCTCCCAGCCAAGGTCAGTCAAGAGCTGCTCTGGGTCTTGGACCAGGTCTGAGTATGCTGGCCAGTCTGAGGAGTGTCTTGTCCAAACAGCCTCCCTCACCAGGGTTGGTCTTCTCAGGTTCTGAGAACTCATGGAAAAACAGACCTCACAAGCCGAGTCTTTACTTCCTCACTTATAGAGATCACTTTCCAGAAGCCCCAGGCCCACCTCAAAAGCCCCCCCATATAGACATCGCTCCCCCATTTGCAAGTAGAGTTCAATTATCCAGGAGATGACCAGGTCAGCAGATAGCCCTTATATCAGATGTCCACTGATTCATTAAACAGGGCCCAATCTTAAAACCAGCACCAAACCAAGGACCAAAACCAAAGAAACAGAAAAGCTATCTCAGGTGGCGGGGAATGGGAAGTGGAATTGGAGAACTAGATGAGAGGTAGGCACAAGCCCAGCTTGGTACCATTCCTGGTTTGATTAAGGAACAGCTCGAGGTCCAGCCAGTTTAGCACTCAGCTCTGGGTTTGGAGCCCAAGCAAGCCTTGAACGCCCACTCTCCAGCCCAGCCCTCAGACCTCGTCTTCCTGCAGGTCTCCCTCCAGCTGCAGAGCCTGCTTCAAGGCCTTGGCCACCACCTGTTTTCTCCTGCTCAGGAAGGCCTGCTCCTCTGTGCAGGGCCCACAGCCCAGGCGCACGGCCAGTTCCCCTGGTCTGCGTGGGGAAGAAGGGACCATGAGGCAGTGCTCAGCCTCGTCAGAGAAGAGCCCAGTTCCATCTTTCTCTCCTGTCCTCCCTCTAACCTTCTTCTCATTCCTGTTCCCAAGACCCTGAAGTTTAACATCTGTGGAGTGTGAAGCAGGGGAGGTGAACCCACACCCACACAGACACACTCGGGAACACGGTAGAGATAAGTCAAAGGACAGGGAGTCAGGGTAACAAAGAAGGCCCTGGGCTGGACCCAACACCTGGTCAATCCCACCTTGGAGCCTCAGCTTCTCCTCCTCACCCTGCCAGGTGTGAAAACCACCACAAAGGAGATGGAAATGAAGGAACAACTGTCTTTAAGACTGGGATTCTTACTCTCCCAAACACAAGGAAGGCCAGCAAAGACATCTCATCTTATCTCATAAGGTTATTTAAGGTCCGTCCTCACAGCTTACAACCAAATGGGTACAGTTTCTTCTTTCCTCTCCAGGTCTCCTTGTCTTCTCTGTGCCTCAAACTATGGTATTCTCCTCAATTTCCCAGTTTTCCAGCCGAACATTTATCAAGTGCTTCTCTTAAGCTAGGCACACATTCCAGGCAGTGAAAACAGACAGAGAAGTTGAAGGGTTAAGAAAAGACCCTTTATCTTCTGAGCATGCTTCCAGGACTCTGTGCTCCATGCTGTTTGCAAACCCTGGCCCTCTCCCATTATCCCTGTGGCTCCTGCAGGCCTGCCCAGTCAGCTGCCCTCTCCCTGGCTACTTTCCCAACTGACGTTTCCCATTCTTGCCTAGACTCTCACCCTTCTTCTTTCTTCAGCTCCACCTTCATCAGAGGCTCCTGAAAACCATGAATACTCCAGTCACAAAGGTGGGTCACCTCCATCCCAACTCCATTACCAATGATGTGCCCACGCTCTTCCCTTACGTCCCAACCAGCTCCACGGGGATGCTCCCCCCATAGCCTGGCCCGAAGAGATGCACTGTGAGAAGAGGCCAGTCAGTTCCCAACCTGAGGTCCTGCCCTGTCCCGACATCTAGCTCTTCTCCTCTGCTAACAAATACCTGGGACGTGGGGAAGACAAGCCTCACCAGCTGGCCCGATGGCAGGGCCTTCAGTGGCACCTTCAGTTGCTCTTGAGGGGCATTCTGCAGGGAACAAAGGAAGTAGACCTGAGGGTTTCTGTCCTTCCATGACTAACAAGGACTGAGGAATGGCAGCAAGGCAGGACTCAGGGCAGATTTCCACCTCAGAGGGTGAGCAGAGGCAAAGGCTGGAGGGGGTACCTGGGAAAGGCAGCTAACCAGTTTGGGGCCCCACTCCGGGAGAGCCAAGTACACTACCTGCAGATGGATACTCAGCTCTTGCTCCCAGCAGGTTGGAAAGTGGAAGCAGACAGTGCCCGTGCCCGCGGAGGCCTCCTGTGGACCCTCACAGGACCCAGGAACCACAAGTTGAACTTTGCCCTCTGATTCTAGAGACAGAAACCAAGGCAAAGAGGCTGGAAATGGCTTCCTGCCCACAGAGGTGCTTCCCTCTCCTCGGGCCCAGGTGTAGGCTGGGAGACTGCCCGCACCACAGCCCCCCTCTGAAAAGGTAAAGCCCAGATCCTGGGAAGCTCCAAGACAGATTCTCTGCCAACCTCTGCTCCAGCCTTAGGGCACTGAAGGCAACTAGTGTAAGATTCCCTCCAGGGTGGGCAGCTTAGAAGGGGGAAGACGAAGGCCAAGGGTCAGGGCTGGCCCAGTGGGCTGGTGGACTCACCCTTCTGGTCCCCTGCCTCCTCCAGTTGCACATGCAAGCAGGAGAGCTCCCGGGCCTGAGGCATGAAGAGAGCCCTCAGATATCAATCCTTCCCTGTCCTCAAGGACCCCCAACCCTCCTAGCACACTGCTTCCTGTGCCTCAGCACCCACTGCCCCAGCCCCACATTACTGGACATTTCTTGAAATTGGATCTTTTTGAGGTGTTGGAATTCTGAAGCCCCTGCAAACTCAGCTCTGCTCTTGATCAGGCAAGCTGCAGGCCCAAAGGAGAAGCCAGAAGGCATGAGAGAGGGGCCCCAGACTCACCACCAAGATACCATTGCTGATGAGCTGCTCCACACAGTCCGGCCTGGAAAAAGCCCAGGGAGCCTCACGTGAGTGCAGGCTGTATCCCCCAAGGAGACCTGGCCAGTCCTCCCCAGGGAAGGTGCCAGCTCTGGGGCTCTGACCTTCCCAGAGGGAACACTCCCACCCCAGAACTCCCCTGTGGTTCCCAACTCACAGACTCTGCAGCCGAAATTCCACTTCCAGCCGCTCCTCACCCTGGAGACAGAAAGAAGTTAGAAAGGGTGAGATGTGTGTGTGGTTTTCAGTGTGTATATGTGCAGATTCCAACCCAGAAACAGGAGGGGTGCTGAGGTTTCCCCAAGAGGAGGGGTGGGGAAGGCTGCCCCTTGAATTAACCCAGAGTTAGGGCAGAGACCACTCCTCCATGAAGAGTAGCTCCTGGATGACAAAGTCCTCTGGCGGCCCAGGGAGCCTGGTCCACTTGGAGTTTGACAAAAAGAAGTTCTCTAAACAAGAGTGGCCTTTATGTAGCCCTCCCTCCAAAGCAGCTCCCTGTCTGGAGCCCTCAGCTGCACAGCTTGCCTGAGGGCTCAGTGAGAAGCTCTGGCGCTGGAACTCCCCAGTCCTCAGAGTCCCTGTATCAAACAGCACCGACAACACGGGGTCATCCTTGGTCAGTAGATCCTGGTCAAACACTTTCAGTTCCACTATGTTCTGGAAGGGGAGCAGAGTGAGGACTGCAGGGAAGATGGGAAGGATGGGAGGGAGCAGGGCAGGGGCAGGCAGGAGGAGCTGGGAGTGGACGGTGAGCAGACCCACCTTGAGCTGCCTGTGGATGCGGAAGTGAAAGCTCTGGTTCCAGATGGGACTTCTGGAGTTCTTGACTGTGCGGGTCTGAAGTCTGTGGCTGCAGGCCGTGGGCAGCCACAGAGTCACATAGCAGTCTGAGGGGGTCACTGCAGGGAGGAATGACCGCCTGATGATAGCCGAGAGCCCAGCCTCCTAGAGTCCACCATGTAGATGGAAGGCCGGGCAGAGCCCCCACCTCCCAGGGCCTCTCTGTAGGACAAGCCCTACTTGCATCTCCTCCCTCTTTTCCTGCACCACTGGGACTCCAGCTGCAATTCTAATCTCCTCAGTAGACTCACCTAGGTCTCTGGAGGGGAGGCCATGGGCCTGCAGGACACGAATGGTGAGCAGACAGGTCCCGGGAGCCTTGGCCTGCAGAGCAGGGAGCAGGGGGTAAGGCTTGCTGCAGGTTCATGGGGCCAAAGGCTGCCAGGGATGGAAAGGAGGCTGGGGCACCTCTGAGACCTAACTCTGCACCAAAGCCATCCAGGCACAGCCCTGCCCTCCACCCCATCAGAATTCTGAAGCTATAGGAGATACAGATTTCCATAAAATCTTACGTAACACCTTGTGTCAGGTTCTGTTGCAAGGCCTTCACATACATTATCTCCACCAACAAAGCAACCCTGTGCGTGGCTAGTACTTATTACATTAAAGCCTCATGAGGAAGCTGAGGTACAGAAAGGCTAGGTAGTAACCTGCCCGAGGTCCAGAGCAAGGACTGGAAGAAACCCAGTCAGGCTAGCTTGAGTTTTGCTTTCAACCCCCACCCTTACCTGTTCTGTCTCCTGGCACAGTATCCTTTAGTCTTTCCACCCTTGCCCTTGCTAAGCAGCTTTGAGGGTTGTCTTGGGTGGTAGATGTAAGGTCATAGAGAGAGAGGAAAAGGCCTGTTGGTCTAAGAACCTACTCCCTGTACTTTCCACCCCTATCAGGGGACAATTCTGGAATGAGCTCTCTGCTAGTATAGGTTCAGCAGGCACCAGCTCAGAGGGCCCACAGATGGCCAAGTCCTAGCCTCTCCAGGCTCTCTAAGGTCAGGATAATGGTTTTCCCTGGAGGATCCATCCAGAACCATCCCGGATGTGCCAGGGCAGAGAAGCCTGTGCCAACTCGTCCTTCCTCCGCCGCAGGGAAGCCCCAAATGGATGGAGTCCTGGGAGCTCCTGGGTGGAGGCAGAATCCAGGACGTTCCTCCATCTTGTCAGTCCCGGGTCCCCACAGGCCCATCAACTGAGTCAGAGGGAGCAGCAGAGCACTCCTTCCCTCCGGGGCCCCAGTAGAGCAGTTGGAAGCTTCCCTCAGTACCTGGGAACTATGTCGAGGTCACTGCTAGGGCAGGAAGAACAGGAGACGGGCCCCCAGCCCAGTATCTGTCCCTTGCCTCGCTTCTGTTTACTGCTCTGGCCCAGGACTGGCAAACATACCCTTTATGCCTGGAGAAGACCAAAGCCCCAGTCCCTCCTGAGAAACAGCATTAACCAGGGCTCAGGTAGGGGTCAGCATGGGGCCCAGTGCCCTGCCAGCCTTACCAGAGCCATGAGGTTAGGAGTCCTCAGGGGCGAGGAATGGCAGGCAGCAGCTTCTGGACCACGGACTGTCAGATTTTTAACCAAGATCCAGGGGTGTCCCAACTCTTCTCTGATCCCTCCCACCTGACTCTTCTGCTCCGCCCAAGCCCCACACCCACTCCTAGACCAGCCACCTGTCCAGGAAATGAGGCACCTCAGCCTGGACTGGAGCCATCAGCCCCTATGTGTGGGCTGCTTCCCCTACCCCTGCCCCAGGTCCCAGAAAGACCCAGTTCTCCCAGGCTACATCATCTGCGCCCCCCCCACCACCACCACTTGACCCTGATCTCCCAGGTCTTATCCCAAGGAGGGAGGCTACCAGGAGTGCTTGTTGCCTGGGGCTAAGCAGAAGGAAAAGGAAGGTGCAGTGTGAGGGGCCACTGAGGTCTGAGAAGCAGGGGTGGCCTTTCAGAGCAGAGGCAAAGGGAAGAGCTGAGCCCCCCATCAGCAGGGCCTTTTGCAACTTCCTGGTACCGGTAGGACAGGAATGCCCAGTCTTGGCTGAAGTGCTGAGCCAATCGGAGAGGAGTGCCTGGGGGCCCTATCATCATCTGGCAGGGGAGTGGCTCTGTTATATAAAACATCTTCAAAGCCAGGTGCTGCGCTGCCCCCATCCTCAAAGATGGGTGCTGAGTGGCTCAGGTTGAGGCCTCTGGTTGGCACTTGGAAGAAGGGAGGCTCTCCTGTCTCAAGAGCCTGGTTTGTTGCAGGAGAGAATCTAGTAAGGAGACCTAGTCCTTCTGCAAAGGAACCCAGGAGGGCTATGTGCTCCCATCCTCCCTGGGCTTATTGTGGGAGGTTACCCCAGGGCCCTGATCCCACCAGCTACACTGAAGCTGGGGGAGGAGAGGCAAAAAGGCCAGGGCAAAGCCAGCTCTAGGACAGAGAGTTCCAACATCAGAGACTGGGGTGGGGGCTGTGGCGGCTGTGAGATTTTTACCTGTACTGCCAAGCACTCACAGTCCACAGCGGGTAAATCACCTGTGAATCACTACCTTTTATTGAGCATTTCCTGCACGCTTGCCTGCGCTGGGCCTGACAGAGAACATTTCCAGGCCCCACTGCAGCCCATGAGATCAGGACCATTATTATCTCCATTCTACAGATGTAGACACTGATGCTCTGAGATGCAGCAGTTTGCCCAAGGCCACCAAGCTGTGGAGAAGCCCCACTCCTCCCTGTGACAGGCACTGCCTCATCTGTGTGGCAACTTGCCTGGAACCCTCACCCAGACCTGTCTGGCACTTCCTGGTCCTCTTGATCTCACCCCAAGAGTCTCTAAAGCTCCCAACCCAAGCCTGGCCCTGAGCCAACAGTTGGTGTGCACGCAACATCCAGGTGTCTCTAGAATCAGCCTGGCCCTGGAGGGCTCTGACAGTTCTCTGAGCTGAGTTCACTGGGGCTCCACTAGTCGAGGCCTGAGGCCTTGGTGAGAGAGTCCAGCAGCTGGAAGTAACTGTACTTGAGGTCATACTCCATGTCATACCAGAAATTCACTGTGGGGAGAACAGGGGTGTGAGCTGAAGGCACCCTCTTCAAACCCTTCTAACCAAAAGCCTCCCTGGCCACCTTGCCCAGATGCTGCTGGGCTGTGGCCATGTAGCTCCTCACCAGCAATGCAGCCATGGGACTGCCGGACGTGGTGAAACCACAGGGCTGGCAGGTAAAGCATCTCGCCAGCCTGCACGGTGCAACGCAAGGCCTGGGCCCCAGAGTACCTGGGGTACCGGGTCAGATCTGGTGCCAAGGGGTCCAGAGGGATCCAGGGCACCTGGAGACACAGTGGGGTCAAGGAACTTGGGCCTTGTCTTTTCCTAAGGTAAACCCCCTAACCCCGCTCCGTTCAATCCTGGGAAGCTCCAGACTTCAGAATTTTTCAGAGGAAGGTGCCACCTTCCCAAATCTTTCATGTCTACTTCTCAGATCCCATGCTGTCCCCTTCCCTCCCTCTCCTAGGGACCCAAGAACAAGATAGACACCTTCTCCATGGCCTTTTCATCCACTACCTTAAAGGTGCCCTCCTCAGTGAGCTGGTAAGTTGCTGGGGTATACAGTTCTGAAGCCAGAAGAAGAGTGGGGAGCTCAGCAGACAGTGCTTCCTGTCCCTTTCCCACATCCCCTTTCTCAGTCACTCCCACTGGCTGCTGGGCCTCAGGGACAATGCCAGGGGCCTAGGGAAGTCAAGATGCCTTGTCCAGGCCACAGGCCTGGGGCACCAGTCTTCTCAGTCCTCACTGCCCACCCTCTCACTCAGGTCACCTGCTGCCCAGCAAGCCACACCTCTTACCATAGGGGATGAAGGGCCGGTCACTGGGTGGATGTAACAGGAAGTGTTTCTCTCCTGAGACAACACAGTAGAGGTTCTCATAGTGGTCCTTGTGCACTGCCAATACAAAAAAGACCCCGTGGACACGGTTATGAGAGACAGGAGCACAGGAGGGAAAAACACCCCATTCAGAGCCTTGCACCTCAAGACCCCTGATGGTGTAAAAGAAGAGAACATGGAGAGTCAAAGCATGGCCTAAAATAATCTTTAAACCTTAAGTCAGAAGTATCCCCCGAAGTCTTCTTAAAACCCAGTAACAGTTCCATCTAACTAGTAAGAATGTCTACCTCAGGCACGATGCTGTTTTAAGCTCTATCTATGTGGAAGCAAACTGACAACAGCATCTTGGAAAAATAGCTAGAGACCTTAGAGAGCAGGGCATTTGTACAAGGGGCTTCAAAGGCTTGTGGGACATCCCATTATCTTTACACATTCCATTTGCCATTAACTTTTGGAAGCCACTTATATTCCTGGGGAGGAAGAACTTGGACAATGAGGGAGAATGGCTGCATGACTTGAAGAATGTCATCAGTGTCACTGACGTGTACAGGTAGAAACTTGGTATATGCTCGGTGTTTTACCTACACAAAAGTAAAAGCAGATTCAAGGTGTTGGCAGGCACTTCAGATCTCAGCCACCAGTGACTTGGCAGTCACCAGCTTGGGTTCATCTCCAAACACACAACTTTCTCCCAAGTTCACCTCCCAACCCAGTGGACCTGCTGAGAGCTTTCTAATGACCTAGAATAGCTATCCGACCCCCAACACCACTCTCTGTGGGCCCAGAATCCCTAAAGAGATCTTGGAGGACAGTCAGTCCCTCTTTCTTCTAGGCCCAACTGCCCACTGTCAGCTTCATCTTCTCTCTTCTAGTGTTCCCCAGATACCTACAAGATGTCACTGCAGCTGCCTCCCCAAGCCAGAAGTTCACGGCATCAGGCATCTTTCCTGCAGATCAGAGGGCAGAGGATGAGTTAGAAGAGAGCATATGCTTCACACCAGACTGGGGATAAGCACCCTACAGGGATGTTGGGGCAAAACACTGGCAGGAGGAAGGGGCCCTAGTGGTGCTGGAGTTAAGAGGCAGAGGTTTGGAGAGCCTGGGGAAATGGACCACCTCCCTGCAGCAGAAGAAAGGCAGCAATTCTCAGCAGTTCCTCTTCTATCATGTCATGGCAGTGCCTGACCCTGGAGGACCAAGGGTGTGAGCCAAATCATCATCAAAGGGTGAGAACTGCTCCCTTCCTTCTCATAGCACCCTGCACTGTCCCTGGGTCAGACACATCCCATAACCCAGCCTATTCCACTCACCCAGTGCCTCAGAAGCCCAGGGCACGTGAGGCTCCAGGTCCGGCAGCAGCTGGGGTAGCTCGGTGGGCAGGTTGGAGCACTGCTTCTGCACATAAAGGACCCCGGGGTGCTGAGTTCTCCCCTCCAGCACATCCAGCACACTGCTCAGGGGCAGGCGGCGCTCGGCTGGCATCACAAAGCGGTCTCCCCGCACAGCATCTGCATAGCCGTCTGGGGTGATGGCCACACTTACTTCTGTGGAGCCTACTGTGGCCCTGGAGGAATGGACATTCAGGCCAGGCCCAGAGGTCACAAAGCACTACCCACTACCCCCTCCCCCTCCCAGGACAGCTCCCACCTCAGGTAAGGAAGAGACCACTTTTGGAGCGCTGGCCAGGACTGCAGAGCATTGCGTATGATGCAGGGCCTGTTGGGGCAGACCCAGTCCCGGTAGAAGTGGAGAGGAGTGGGGGGCTTGTCCAGGTAGGGTACAGCCAGAGGCACGCTGAGCTCTGAAAGAGAGAGGAAGGTGATGTTGGTGCCCCTCTACCTATGGAAGACACACCTTCCCTGGTTGGCCACACTGTCACTAAGCAATGTTCATTATTAAGTGACCAAGGAACCCTGGGCAAGAAGGAATTCAAGAATGAAGCGAGAAAGTAAAAGGAGAAAGCGTGAAGCATATCTATACTGCAGGATGGGTCACAGGAGCCAGGGGGTCCTGCTCAGTCCATAGCCCAGGCCAATCCAAGCACAACAGACCCTTAGCTTCCCCATATGGAATGGCCACCTTCCCAGCATTATTAAAAAACCAGCTACCGGAGCAGTACAGGGAGCTCCAGAGCGAGTAGAGTTGAGGTCCAAGGCCAAGGGCTGGTCAGGCTGGGGCATGGCGCTGCAGTGCCCTCAAATAGTGTATATTTACTGAATATTCTGGAACGTGCTCAGCACTTGGAGTGGCCAGTGTGAAGGTGTCATTTCAAGATGCTTACAACCTAACTGAGGAGACAGACTAGCACATGAAACCCTGGGGTCTTAATGAATGGTTTGTGCAGAGTGCCACCTGTGTGGATGTCTGTAGCAGCCCTTATCATCCGTAATAAAAATAGCTTACTTTTGACTCATCCTTCTCCCTCACTTCTGTTATCTTATTGGTTATCTTTAAGTCCCATGAGTCTACCTCCAAGAGCTTCTCAATCCCACCCCTCTCCTTTCTTCCTCCGCATTAAAGCTACTGCTTTTGCATTTTCACTCAAATGTCATCTTGGTGAATCTTCTGAACTGCCCCCCAATAATCTCTATTTTAAATGAAAAACAAAACCAGTTGTCTCTGAGTTGATTCCAACTCATGATGACCCGTGTGTATCAGAGTAGAACTGTGCTCCATAGGAATCAATGACTGCCACCCTTCAGAAGTAGGTCACAAAGTTTTTCTTTTAAAGTGCCTCTGGTTGTATTCAAACCACCAACCTTTCAATTAGTAGCCAAGTGCTTAACCAAGTATGCCTATAAATCCTTATATCCCTTCCCTATTTTATTATTTTCCTTACCATTTTATCAGCATCTAACAAACTATGTAAAGAACCCTGGTGATGCAGTAGTTAAGAGCTCGGTTGCTAACCTAAGGTCAGAGATTTGAATCTACCAGACGCTCCTTGGGAGAAAGATGCAGAGGTCTACTTCTTGTAAAGATTGTTGTTGTTAAGCGCCATTGAGTCAGTTCCAACTCATAGCGACCCTTTATAGGATTTCTGAGGAATGACTGGTGAATTTGAACTGCCGATCTTATAGTTCAAACTAGCCTTGGAAGTTCAGTGTGTATCCTACAGTGCCATAACAGGACTCTGGTAAACAGTACAGCCTTGGAAACCCTGCAGGGTAGAGTTGCTGAGTTGGAATCGACTCAATGGCAGTGATTTTGGTAATAAGTTAACACACTATTTATTTAAATTATCAATCTCTTTCCTTCACTAGAATGTAGTCTCCATGAGGGCAGGGATACTTGTCTTGTTCACTGATGTATCCCAGATCTAAAACAGTACCCAACACACAGTAGATTGCTCAGTAAATATCTGACTCAATCAAAGTCTTCAACATCCCCTGCCATAACTAACTGGTTTCCCTGGCTTAACTCCCCTTCCTCCCAAAACCATTCATTACCCCGGCTCCAGATATCTTCCTAAAATACAATCTCATCTTGTCACATTCATAGTAAACTGTCACGCCCACTCCGAAGGAATCTGCGTGACAATGGTCGCCGGATTGGAGGCATTGGCTTCAACAGGAGCAAGCCCCTCGGAGTTGTTCCAGCTAGATTTATAGTCAGACTTTAAATTTCTTGCTTTAATATATATATGTGTGTGCTTTTCTTGTGCTTCCATGGCAGACCCCTAAATAATGTTGTTTTAATAATCATACCCGACCCCTGTTTTAATAGAGTCGTTGTGCTCTGAGAAGTTGGCAGAAGAATACAGGTTACAATTAGCTGTGTAGAATTCACATTTAGGTAATGTTTGACAGAGCATTTTGGCCACAATGCATTCACCTGTTTCAAATAAATTGTTAACTTAATTGTTGTTGTTGTTGTTGTTACGTGCCGTCGAGTCGGTTCCAACCCATAGCGACCCTGTACAGGGTTTCCGAGGGTGTAAATCTTTACGGGAGTAGAAAGCCTCATCTTTCTCCCGCGGAGCAGCTGGTAGTTTCGAACCGCTGACCTTTAGGTTCGCAGCCCGATTCGTAACCACTACGCTACCATAGCTCCTTTACTCACACACAATGCTGAAGATAATAGTTAGAACACTAGGAGTTAGAAAAACAGGATAAAAGAAAAAATCACATAGGAACATATGATTAACGTGAAACATTATTATAGTACATAATGAAATCAGATAATAAAAAGAATATTGTGATCCTACTTACATCCTTTCCTTTCCCCCACAATAAAGCAATTATTGTAGCTAGTGAAGCATAAGTAGTCTTAACAGAACATGATAGAAGAATCCTTAAATGTAGATGTTTGACTATAGAACTAAGTTTCTGATGTATTTCAAAGAAACTGTGATTACGCACATCCCCTGACTATTGTTGTAAAGAAAAAATTATTGATATTCCGAAACTAGCATTGATTAAACGCTTAAGTAATGTAGTAAAACGATATAAAAACTGTGGTCTTAGAGCAATAAAGAGACATTTTTGGATGGAAAAAGAGTCTCCGTGAATTCATTCGCCGAATTATTTCCCACCAACAAAGACACCCGTGGGGTCTCACCCCCTCCACTGTAGTGGTCAGTAGCAGTAAACAGCCTTTGATGACTTACTACTTACAGAATAAAGTCTGCCCGTCTTGCATGCAAGCGACTCCATACTCAGGCCCAACCAGCCTTCCTTCTGTCTGGTGCCTGCCCCTTATCATACATATTATAGATGTTTCTGCTGGTCCCTCTCCCAGCTTCAAGGACAGGGGAAAGTTTTGACTACTGCACCCTATGCTGAATGGTCACTGCCCCTTCACCTCAAGGTCACACTCCACCTCTCAACAACTGTGTCTCCAACATGGGGGGTGATCAGCCTTGCAATCAGTTGGAAAGTCAATACATGTTTAGATCACAACATGAAATTGAGCGGTAGGACTTCGGTGGGCCTGGGAAAGTTAGAAAGGAAAGAACTGATGGGCGAGCTTGTGTCTCCGTCAGAGTGAATGGTAGAAAGACGGAACCTGCCAGGCAGATCCTAGAAGTTGGAGCAATGCCAGTCCACGTAGCAGTCACCCTGGAAGAAGGGGATCTGGGGCTCAGTAGCCCTCTCCCCCTGTTATTCTCATTGGAACTCTTAAAATAGGTGGAAATTGCTCATTTTATACCTTTTGCATTTTTTGTATTTCTTTCATTTTGATGTGTTTGCTTTTAAGTCAACTTCCTTTTGGGAATGCCCACTTTTCTCTCTTGGGGCTTCAAAGTGAGAGAGGAGTTTCAAAAGGTATCCAAACATCTCCTTTGATCCAACAATCCCTCTGCTAGAAATGTAATCCACTAAAACAACCTGTGCATCTGCATAGTCTCTGCTCCAGTCACCGGGCCTTTTCCCTCTTCCCTGAGCATACCAGGCATGCTCCCAGCAGGCATGCTTTTGCCTGGCCAGTGCTGGTACCTGAAATGCCCCTCCGCAGACGTCTATAAGGCTCCCGCCCTCCCCTCCTTCTGTGCCCAAAAGTCACCTCCTCAATGAAGCCCATCCTAGCCATTTTGTTTAAACTTGCAACCAATCTCCACCCCCATCCCTGAGCCCCTCATTCGGCTTTACAGTTTCTTTCAATAGCACTTAGCTTCTAATCCATTATTTATTCACTTAGTGTGCCTACTGTTAACTGTAAAGTTTCTGGGTGGTGCACACGGTTAAGCACTGGGCTGCTAACTGAAAGGCGGGCAGTTCAAATCCACCCTGAGACACTTCAGAAGAAAGGCCTAGCAATTTCCTTCCTAGAAAACCCTCTGGAGCATAGATCTACTCTGCAACACATGTGGTGGCCTGGAGTTAGAACTGACTGCTGGGCTAGGTGTCTCCTCACTTAGGAGGTAAGCACCACAGGGGCAGAGGGCAACGTTGAGCAATGTTTCCCAAACAGAGCCTGGCACATACAGGTGCTTAATAGGGATTTGTTAAATGAATACACAAAGTGTTCACGGCAGCATTACTGAAAACAATAGCTTGGAAATAACCTAAATGCCTATCGATGATGGGCTGATTAAGTAAAGTGCAGCCCTAGTACACAGGTGTGTAAAGAATGAGGTAGGAGGATACACGGAATGATCAGTGCACCAACCAACCACCACCACACACCAGGGAGCAGAGGGTGTGTTTACAATGCAGCCATATGTGTGCACAGGTAGACACTGAGTATTTCTGGGATGATGCAAACTAGAGGCCTGGGATGGAAAAGGAACCTTACTTACATTATATTTTCATTTTCTATGTTTTGTTTTTTGAAATATGTTCCTGTATTGATATTCATTGGTATCAATTAAAATATTCATTGGTATCAATTAAAATATTCATTGGTATCAATTAAAAATAGAAGGAGAGAAAGAAGGAAGGAGCAAAAATACAGAGGAGAAATGCCAAGGATGACTCGTGCAGCTGCCTCCATTCGTCCCAGAGTGCTGCACTTCTCACAGCTTGGACGAGTCAGTTCTGACTAAATAAGACTACTTCTTCCCTGCAAGGGTTCAGAGAAAGGGAATCCAACCACCACCCTTGTGTCTGATGTTAAGAATAAGACTTCATACCTATATAACTAGGGTGGATACTGACTCAGTAACCAAAAACCTACCACCAAGAAAAGTCCAGGATCAGATAGCTTCACTGGTGAATTCTACCAAACACTGAAAGAAGAATTAACACCATTCCTACTCAAACTCTTCTTAAAAAACAGAAGAGGAGGGAACACTTCTTTCCTCATTCTACTCTGATACTAAAATCAGATAGAGAGCCCGTAAGGAAAGAAAACTATAGA